GGATCGTGGGGAGCATCTGAGAAGTCCCGTGACTTTCGTCTTGGGCGGCGCTGAAGTTTTTCATCGATATTCTCTTGAGATAAAAATGGGTACCTTTTGTATGGCCATCTGTGTTCACTATAAGATGGTTAGAAAATCTTCGCTTAATCGGTTCATGCAGCTCTACCAGCATTCTCCTGAAATATTGCTGTTGGTTCTGACAAACAAATATATAGTATATCGTGTTTTAAACTTACTTTTGCTGGTTTTAGGGCTGCTACAAGTCCTGTCTTATATAAAACATATGAAAGTATCAGGTTAAGTAGTTAAATTTGATATATTATAGGATTCAAATTTCCCTTTTTCCGTTGTGTTGCATGTGACATAATATTACTTCTGTTTTAGATATTGGATGATGCTTTTATTTTCATCGCAGCCCTATCTTTTTGATATTCTATGGAAACAATGGTTTGAAAGATGAATGCATTAGATAAAGAACTACAGTGAATTGAAGTTTGATCCCTGGATAACATCTGAGTTTTGAGATGGTTCCAAGAGCGCTTCTAAAGTTAAAATTTTGCATTAAATTCTGAAAAGCTAAATTCAGAATGAGTGATGATATGCGAACTATTGTAGGTCCCATACAAGATGCAAAATTTGGTAATACTTTATGATGCTGTCACCAAGTTGCATGGATAATTTCTTCTTTCCATAGCATCGTTTGTCAACAGTTAGGAAGTTTTGGTAGGTTAGGTTTATATTCAGCTATTTGGGAGGCGATTTTCCCTGGTATGGTTATTATTTGTCCAATGTTGTTTAGATGTCAAGCTAAGTGTCTATGAAATTCTTTACTATCTGCATCTTTCTCTGGTTTCCTAAGCATTACTATGATTTTATCTGCTATTGTATCTGGTTCTTCATGTGGAAGGATGGAAACATGATATTTCATTTGGGCTTTATATAAAAAAAATGATCAAAGATCAGACATAGTTGATCTGGATAGTGAGATTTTAGTGAAGCTGTTGGGGAATGCCTAATATTCCTGTACTTGAGAACTCTCATGGTTGTTGTGGACCTTCTTTGGTGTTCGAAAATTCAGCATGACAGTTTAGGATTGGTTATTGGACAAGTGTGGTGCCAATCTTAGTGGATTTATATTATTTGTGGATTGTCTATTTCACTACATTTGTTGGTCTAGCTGCATTGCAATTTGTATTCTTGAACAATGTTTTGTTTTGTGGTTGTGGACGTTCACGTAGACTATATTGGCAAGCTGGTCTGTCTATTAACCAAATTTAGGTCTTTGCACCTCAATATGGTTGCAGGACTGGTAAGACATTGAGTTTACTTTGCAGATTGGATTGTACAGCATATCTTGCACAGTAGGAAGATTTGGTATGTGCATATTTTTGCTCAGGAGAAGTGGGTATAGGCAGAGATGATTCCATGTGTATTCTCAGCTCTTAATAGACTGTAAATTGCCTGCTTGAGATACTACGTGAGGGTTACATATCAAATGGAACAAGTTTTAACTTTTGATTAACTAGGACTTCATTGATGAGAATGCCTATGAATGTGCCACAGTTTCTGAGTATCGGCTTTGAGTAAAAGTGAAAGCCTCTCCTACCAAGCTTGTCTGGCTTTTTATGTGATGGATCCCGAGCTTATTTGGAGTTTTCAGGTGACTGATCGGAGGTAGGGACATTGAAGGTTCTTCTAAAGTTTGGCATTTGAACCAACAAAAAGCCTACTTTGGAAAAGGTTATTTCACTGGAACATGCTCTGCTGATCTGTGACAGATCAGAAGTGATATTGATGATTCTTTTCAGATGCAGAGATCATCAAGGGTTTGCTTGCATTACTTCTGGTCTCTACATCCTAGATTAGTATAGAGAAGTAAATGAGCGACTAGCAAAGTTCTCTGGCGATTCTCGTCCATTAAGAAAATGTTATATTATCTAGGTTTATAGCCTATGCACATCTCTAGTAGCTATTTGTTTAATTTTTATTTTCTCTTAACCATAGCAGTTACAGTCATGTAGCTACCGTTTTGAGAAGTCCAATTTAGCCCATGGTGTGGGATCATCCTGCTGTGCTGGAAGTTTTGCAGAATGCATGGAATTGGGTGGCTTCCTACTGCCAAAAGCTTAGAGGCAAGTTTTCTCGCTCTTCTATGTCAGATTTAGTTCTTAAGATAATTGACTTCCAAGTGTGTATAACTGTATGATGTGAACTTCAGTGTGATTTCTTTTACTAGTTGGTGCTTTTGCCCTTGGAATGTAAAGCTACATAGAAACACAATTTGTCTACTATAGTCTTAGTTATCCCTTAAACCTGCATCTGTGAAAATTTAGAGTTATTATTAGCGCATCAAGTTGGACCATGGTGCTAGTCAGATGATCTTTTACATCTGGACTGTGCTGATGACACATGTTTCTTGTTCACTGTTAACACTGGTGCTACTTTCTCCAAATTGGTTAAGAGGGAAGTGCCTGAACGTTCTAGTTTTCTTACAAGGTGTTCATGGTGCATACAAATTGATTTAGTTGTTTTGCGGAGGCAGATGCCTTGAATTAGTCATGGACAGATATCATTAAATTTCCTGCCCTATCCTCATCTTTTAATGTGTTAGGAAAAAAGGGCCCATATAGGTTTGGTTTATTGTTATCTTCAATTCTTCTTTTTGGTAGACAGGAGAGTGCCAGAAGTTGTCTTAAAAAGTTGCTATTAGATTGGAAACAAGCATGACGAGTTAGAATCATTTTGTTGTCTGATTAGACATTATATGAATGAGAAAGTTCAAATTACAGTTTGGAAAGGATTAGGAAGACACTTCCATATCCTTATCTTTCAAATTCTAGTCAGCAGATGCTTGCTGGTGAAAATGATATATACGGTGCTCCTTTCAGATTGGAGTTCTCCAGGCTTGTTAATTGACTCCAGCAGTGTAGTTTTAAAGATTGGAAGGTAGCAATTGAAAACTATCACTCGATTTTTCCGATCTAGAGCCAGTACGGTTTTTTTATTTTCTAGAAATGATAATAAATAAGCTTGTTCGACTACTTTCATTTCTGTTTTAAAATTAATTTTTTTTTTCTGAACTAGCTTGGGAGATTGGAGTTTGTCGCGGCTAGTGAATCTCAATGCAATAGATATATACAAGTGTAGCATTGCTACAACACAACACAATACAATGGATAGCATTGCTAACACAGACCAGGGAGTAATTTTGTTAATGCTCTGTAGATTACCTTTCCTATTTGTATCACTTCATTTCTTTGATAACCTTGAAAGCTTGGAATTTTAGAAGACGAGAGAAGAAATTGGCAGTAGGCAGGATGATCTATTCCTAACCTAATGTTAGAAGCAGATTTGATTTTAAAGAAATGATTTTGTTTACATATTTGTATCTTTTACATTTCTGCCACTTGCAATAAATTGGGTGAAAGGGGGATCCATCTCTGCACAAAAGAATTTTGCTTGACTTAGTGCTCAAATGATGCTCAAGAGTTGTGGTAGAGCTTATAATGCCCTGGATGAAAGCGGAATGAGATGTGTTTATTTAATTTGATTTACTTTGTCTGGAACTGGTGATATGCATGCATGAGCCTTGTAGGATGCAAATCGGAGTGTGAAAGCTTGGAAGGAAGCAATTGAAAACTATCACTTGAAGTTCCAGAACTAGAGCCAGTATAACTTTTCTAATTTTTAGAAACGAAAATAGATAAACTTCTACTAGTTCTTTTATGTTTTAAAATCAATTTTTTTCTTAACTAGCTTGGGAGATTGGAGTTTGTTGCAGCTAGTGAATCTCAATGCAATGGATATCTACAAGTATAGGGTTGCTACAACATAATGGATAGCATTGATAACACAATACAATGGATAGCAGTGCTAACACAGATCGAGGAGCAATTTTGGTAATGCTCTGGAGATTAACTTTCCTGTTTGTATCATGTCATTTCCTTTGATAACCTTGAAAGCTTGGAATTTTGGAATGCAAGAGAAGGAATTGACAGTAGGCAGGATGATCTACTGGTAACCTAATACTGAATGCAGATTTGATTGGAATTTTGGTAATGCTCTGTAGATTAACTTTCCTGTTTGTATCATGTCATTTCCTTTGATAACCTTGAAAGCTTGGAATTTTGGAATGCAAGAGAAGGAATTGGCAGTAGGCAGGATGATCTACTGGTAACCTAATACTAAATGCAGATTTGATTGTAAATAAATGATTTGTTTACATATTTGTATCTTTTACATGTCTGCTACTTGCAACAAATTGGGTGAAAAGGGGACATTTCTCTGCAAGTAAGAATTTTGCTTGACTTAGAGCTCAAATGATGCTCAGGGGTCAGGATCTATGGTGGACCTTATAATGCCTTGGATGAAAGTGGAATGAGATGATTTATTTAATTTGATTAACTTTGTCCGGACTGGTAATGCTGATGCATATATGAGCCTCTGTTTGTAGTATGCATATTGGACATTTGTGCAGAAGTATATTTCTAATGGATAAAGATGCTCATGTGAAGACGAGGGAATGAGGGATAACTCATCATGGATATGAGATTTAATTACATAATTGTTGGTGTTAGTTTAAATGCTATTACTATAGAGTATAGAATTGTTGTATCCTCTTTATACCATTGTAGTTCTATGATGTGTACTTCAGCTAATATTGTCAATACTTCATTAGCTTTGTTTGTAATGTATTTCCATATGTATAGGTAATATAAGGAATTAAAAGTTAGTATGGCATTTCCAGCTTTCTCATACACATCAAATAAGTCTCCTGCAAGTATCAGTGCCTGACATGGTTCATGGATGTGATCCAGACTCACTTTGTAGTATGTCCTGCCTAGGTATGAGTTCTACTTTGTAATGGAGAATACAATATATACAACACCCTAAGTTGTTCGTTTTGTTGGGATGGTGACACATTAACCTCTGCTTCTGTATAACATTGAATTTCATAATTAGTCCAGGATAGTTAAAACAAAAGCTTTATTTTGCTTCTTAGCTTCATTTCTTATTGCATTTAGATATTCATCTAGTTTGTAGGAGACACCCCAACAGTACACTCAACTCCTGCTTTTTTATGTAGCACTAACATGTCACTACTTGCTACCAAAATACCAGATTCATTTACGTAATAGAACCAGAATCTAATTGGCATGTTCCTGCAGATTATGTAAGATCTTAGCTATTCACCTGGTGATAATCTAAACGTGCATGCTTTGTTTATTTCAATTCGTGCATTTTCTTTTGCTGGAGATTCTTAGCTTTTCATTTACTTCAAATTGTTTTATTATGTAATAATTTATGTGGTTTCCTACAATCAATGTGGATAAATAGTTTTCTATGAAGTAAATGCAGAGCTACATATTGTACTCTTAAGAATTTATGCATACTTCCAGTCCTTATATGGTGCGCAGGAAATATTGACGTATAACAGTAATCACTAGAATAATTAATATCGTGTTTTATGCTGGAAATACTGACAAACGTACACACATGCATATATGTGCTGTCTGTGTGTGTGTCTTTATAGAACTAACTGTACACCACTTATATGGATACATGCATATGCGTGCCTATATAGTTTTGGGGCTTTTAAGGATACAAGTCCTTGAAAGAAAGTCATTTTGCATATCAATCCTTTTTAGTTTGCAGACCACCTATTAAAAGTTACATTTTCTATCTGACGATATAACTCATCAATGCGTGGTAATAACTATAATGGAAAATGACCTTTTGCACTTTGCCTTCTCACCGCTATCATTTATTTTTTATCTCTAAATCCAGTTTTCCATATTTCATTTCTCTTGACTAACCATATCTGACAGACTCACTGTTAAAGACACATTAGTAGCTTATGGAAACTTGTCAACTTAAATTTAATCAGCATGATTAAGATTGCTTCCACACCTTGTAATGGCAAAATATCATGGATATCCTCAAATCTCCAATGCTCTATTGTACCATGCTCCTTTTATGCAAAAAAGTGAAGACCTATTACTTTAGTTACACTAAGTTTCTTAGTTGTTTTAGGAATCATCTTTGACCTTATTCTTGCAGACACCAAGCAATAGGGGTCTAATTTGAAGCTTAGTGAAATTTTGGGAAGTTATAAAAAACCTAAGACTAGAGAAACTGAGAATCATACCTTCAAGAAGAAACACACAGGACCCGTTCCCGCAAAAAGGAGGAAAAATCACACCTTCAATCAAAATTCATGGATATCCTCAAATCTCCAATGCTCTATTGTACCATGCTCCTTTTATGCAAAAAAGTGAAGACCTATTACTTTAGTTACACTAAGTTTCTTAGTTGTTTTAGGAATCATCTTTGACCTTATTCTTGCAGACACCAAGCAATAGGGGTCTAATTTGAAGCTTAGTGAAATTTTGGGAAGTTATAAAAAACCTAAGACTAGAGAAACTGAGAATCATACCTTCAAGAAGAAACACACAGGACCCGTTCCCGCAAAAAGGAGGAAAAATCACACCTTCAATCAAAATTCATTGGTCTCAATCAGTATAAGGTAGCCACCTATGTCTACTACATCAAATTCTTTGATAAGAGACTCAGATCTCAAGCAACTAGCTACTAAAATAAAATCTAATAACTCATATTTCATTGAATATAACATGGTCTCCCTCCTTTAATTGAGAATTTCAGGAGTTATGATTCACGATTTAGGCGTATTTTAACATATGATTGAGATGCTTCTCTTTGAAAGGATAACAAGGCTTGTCATGCATGCTGAATTTACATCATTTCTAGTTAGTCTATATTCTATTGATGGAATGAAGACGTTCCTCGACTGTGTCAGTTTTTTGGGTGAGATTATATGGTATTGGTATGGTTCACCAAAACCTGCTTAGTTGTTATATAAGCCAATATAGTTGTAAAGATCTTCAGATAGTACAAATGTTTTACCCCGCCAAGGTTCTTCCTGAACCTTTCTGCATCTTGTTACACCCATTCAGGATAGTTGTCAAGTGGCACAAGCCAAAATATGTAGCATGCAACAGTTCTTCACTTAATCAAAGTATTTACTTTCTTGTTCATCTTATTTGTCTCAGCCTGTCAACATCTCTTCATAATATTTTATCTCATGTTAGGTCTCCTTTGTAAGCCCACTGCACAGGGGGGGGGGGGGGGGGGGGGGAGGAAGAGGAAAGATTTTAGAGCCCCGTCCAAGAAGGTTATCCTTGTAGGATTTGTTTGTATAGGTCATGTTCTATTCCTGTAGTTGTGTAGCTTTGGGTTTAGGAGAATATAGAGGCATGGTTTATTGCTTGATCCCTGTTCTAACCTACGACGGGTATATTCCTCAGCTAATGTGCTAATTTTTCATTTAACTCGCAACATGACTTCTACAAACTTAGCATCATACTTGAGCTAGTTAGGTAGGGTATTTTCTGGACTTGACCTGCCGGTTTACGTGTGGCTTAGTGCGCTGCCATGTCGTCTTTCTTCCATCTTGAATGCTTTGTTCCCAAGGGCACTTGCCAGGTTTTTTTTTCTTTTTACTGTAGTGAGCTTAATTTACTTGACAATAGTTATTTTAACTGTTGACATCCAGACCAACTTAGGACATTTTGGTTGGGATTTTTTAGAACTTGCACAGGTTTTTGGAGCCGAGTAATCTTTCTAGTCTTTCTATAATTGAACACTGTATCAAGATCTACGGGGCTTCATTTAGATGTTTTTATCAATTTTGCTCCAATGGGAGCAGACGGTTTTTAGTTGGTAAGCAATCTGTTATCATCTAGGTTCCTTCCATGTTTTAGCCATATAGGACATGATAAAACTTATTTATGCAAGCTTGCCCCTCATTAGGTTTGGTTCCAGCATATATTCACAAGTTTTCGAAGCTGACGTATTTAGAGTAGTCACAACACATGCTCACCTTAACAAAATCATCTGTTGTATCATTACTTGTTTAATTTTTGCTCAAAGTTTTAACATTGTTGGAATGGTCATGTCTTTCCATGGAACTTTAAGGAGGGTTTTGCACTCTTAAATTAGTTTTCAAATAATAATTATTTACACCATATTCCGATCATTGTTTGTGTTTGTTTAGGGTTAATTTTGTTATATGGTATGGTTGAAAGCTGTTTGCTTAGGAGCATGTCCTAAGTTCTTTATAAATTTCTGTCTGTTATTGCACCCAAATTAGCTACCCCTAACTGCTCTTGTTGATTAATGAGATATTCACATATGTCGTACTTTTTCTGATGAACTTCCCTGAACTTATCTTGTGCAGGTTGAGGCCACCAAACTTTGTTTTGGCACCATGGGCAGAATTGAGAAATTTCGTTGCTATGAAGGACAGTGCGATATATAAATTCTCAAGAATAAATAAACAGCGCATGTGGCTCTAGATCCTGCCTTCCTCACTCTGGGGATATTGTATAGATCGTAATTCTTCACTTCTAAAATTCATGATCTTTAGGCCCCCCTACTTTGGCAGGAAGGTAGAATCCCTCGAGGAAAAAAAAGTGAGATACTTCTAACCAGAGATTTCAGTCGATAGTCATTTCCAAATGGTTTGATGGCTTAGCTATTTTCGGCTTGTAGC